TGAGCCAGCAAGAGCGATACCAGGACCCTGAAACTAAAGCAGCTAAGTGGAAATGGAGCCATCATTATTTGTATTGTTTACACCTGTTCTTTTCATACTGTGACATGCCAAAATGTCTGCTGTGAAATAGGTCTCTTTTTGTTTTTATTACACTTCTATGGCATATTTTGGTGTTTTTATAGGTGATATACTAATATACACTTCACTGTTATGGTTTTCTTTCATAAATAACTCAAAGTGGGCTTGATCTTGATTTGCTTACATATTACATATTTTCATAGTATATTAATGTGACATATTTCTTTTGCAGCAGCTGTCTGCTCAGTACTTCTATGGGAAAAGGAGGCCTGCTGACTGTGGTTGTGCCAGCCCACCTAGACATCATTGACTTTGATTTTCAGCCTAAAACTGAAACCTTTTTAAAAAATCAAAAGAGAAAAAATGCCTTCTTTTATCCACCAATAACTCTCCAAGGTTTAAATGTCCAAGTATTTCAATGAGTGCCCTATAAAGGGTTAAGGTGAGGACAGAGAAACGTCAGCAGTTAAAAAATTCGAGCAGGTGACCCAGTGAGTTTATACATCCAGAAGAAGAATTTCTATAATATCCAGACCAGATATCTAACTGAGACCTTTTAAAACATGTAGCCACACCAGGCTAGTAGAGGGGACCTACGTCTAATTGGGACTTTTAATTTAAGTTTTTGATGAAGTCTGAAATGGCTGAAATGCGTAAGCAGGTTATTTTTTATCTGTTACTTTGACTAAATAGCCACCATATAAAAGGCTTTTTAAATCACTTTTTAAATCAGTGGTTTAGATTTCTTCAACAAATCTATATTTTTCAATCAATTCACTTTTGTTTGTGCTGATCTTGTGCCAACTGTGGCACAGGTATGTCAATAGAAAAGCTAAAATATTAAGACATAGGTCAGTTGGAGCCTATGCAACATCTGAGCATGCTCCGCGGACCGCCGTGGCCACCCATGTTCAACTATTGTGCACATTTTCTTTGATCAGCGTAGCCATTGCCTTTCTAAGCCTGACCAATATTCAATCATGTCTTCAACACTGTCAAAATGGAACCCCCCCATAGGGCCAAGCTGCGGCCCGCGATGGGGCGTCATGTCCGAGCAGCGGAGGGCTATTGGTGAGCGACCTGACCTCTAATTTGGGCCTTCATCGTCACCCCGAGAGGCAGAGCTTTAGGGTAATTCCTCCCTGAGAGAGAGGTAAAAGGCCAAGGCAACACCAGGATCTTACTTGGAGGATTTTGCCCCCCTAGTGTGTGCTGCAATGATAGCATCCCAGGCTGTATACAAAAGTGCATAATAGAGCATGACCAGGCAGCGCTGAGAAAAAACTCCTCTTGGCCCCAAAACTGCATAGTTTGTTGCTCGGGTGACAGGGCCCTGGTTTATTTCCACATTCTATCACCAACTCTCTCACAGCTTAGTGGAACACCCGGCCAGTGAACTCTGATGTCTTCAGGTTTTGCCAAACATCTACTTGTTGGCTAATAAACCCTTATTTAATCCGAGCCTATGCAAGGATTTAAAATGAACTCATTTTCGGTTTTACCCCATGGAGCACTCATCAAGTTTTATTTACCAAACTTTGTGAAAGGACGGCAAACATTGCCATCTGCTTGATTTAACATGAACGGAATCACATTCTTTTGGGATAAGTGCAGCAACTTTGCACCAATCCTTAATGGATTTTTGGTGTTGTGAGAGCTGGGCGGGGCGGTGACGGTATCCATATCACAAACAGAGGGGGCGAGAAGGCTGAGGATGTGAACGGCAAGCCAGAAGTTCTGCTTGAGTGCATCTGAATGCAGGATCTACCAGAGAGGAGCACACCCCGTCCCCTCCGCAGTTTCAAAACCAAGCACCCCAAGCTTTCTGCTCACACCTCTTTGCCCTCGCATTGCTCCCCTCTTTCTCTATCTCGCCCGCCCCCATCTCTTTATATGTCCAGCTGGCTGCGCCACAAAGACTCCGTCTCCCAGTTCCAAATGATCCTCAAACCCCCACATGCTTTGTTCTGCTCATTTTCCCACTCCCCAGAGACGGAGTTTAGACACAAAAATGAAAATGAGGAAAGGATGGAGTGAGAGAGAAAGATGGGGGAGAGAGAAAGATTAAAAAGGTGAGGTGGAGTGGGAGAGTGTGTGAGAACGGGAGAGTAAGCCAAGGAATACTGTCAGATCTTCTAGGCCCACGCTTCAGGGATTGCAGAGGCCTTGAGTCTGCAGACTTCAAGAGAGCGAGGAACTGGTGTAAACATCTTTGCATCGTGACCTTGAAATATAAACTGCATCTGAATGTTCTCAAAAAGGCTATTTCTCTGATAACCCAAAGTTTCTGTTGAAGTTAAACCAGCTGAACCCTCTCCTTCGGTTTCAGTGCTCGTTTCTCAGCGCCACTTTCTGGCGGGGGCTAGGATCATGTTTTGCGGTAATCATGCGGTCAATTACAGGCAACAAGTCCCTTCAGGTTGAAAGGTTTAAGATCCTCTATCCCACCCTGCCGAAATCCCCCAGCTCCCCAGCTTGTGTGAAATCATGCAGTGGATTGTTGTGCAGAAAAAGGACCACAGTATGGAGATGTGGGCCGGAACTAATAGGATTGGTTTTGATTCATTAGATTCTCTTTCATCATCCTGGTTGGAATTCCACTCCATGTCTCCTCGGGCTTCACACTTTTAAAATGGAGGTGGGAGGGGGGCAAGTGTTTATAATTGAGCCTCTAGACTGCAAAAGCTCATTACTCTCTATGGAATCATTTGCTTATTTATACCCCATGGAATCAGCATCATAACCATGTGAATGCAGCACTGTGTTTGTCAAAGTACTGGCAACACAGTGCAGGATGTGATTCAATGGTTGGCAAAATGTGTAACGAAAATGTAGAATAGCAAAACACAATGATACACGCATCTTCTTAATAAGTTTTAACAGAGAAATCTAAAACTGCTGGTTAGATACAGTGCATAAGATCTGTTCTGTAGAGGCTTCCTTCTTCATAGCTAGGAAGCAGCTGGCAGCTTGCTTCCTTAGGAATTCAAAGGAATAATTGGACATTTCTTGAAATATGCTTATTTGCTCTCTTGCTGAGAGTTTGACAAGAAGATTGATACCAGTCCCCGGTGTCTGTACAATAAATACGAAGCTATAGCCCTACACAGAGATTATGAATGGTCAGAGTATCTCTGTACTGTCAGAGAAAGAAAGCAGAGACAGATCCTCGCCGAGTCCAGGCTCAGAGACCACAAAGTGGAAATTAAAAAAGGAATTGCATGGCAGCCTAAAGAAACAGAATAAGTGGTCACTGCTCAACAGCCGAGGTCGAGACAGAGATGTACGTCCTCCTACACTGTAAAACCTTGGATAATGTATGTTTTAACAGTTCTCATTTATTTGTATTTTGTAACTACAAGTCGACTTTATATTTTCCAATTTTTTTTTTTTAACTAATTTGTTTATACATATATATTTTACACCTGCTTTGGCAATAAAAGTCTGTTTCCCATGCCAATAAAGCCCCTTTGAATTCAATTGACTAGAAGCAAAGGGAAACAGCTAGCATGGCTGTGTCCAATGGTAACTAAATCCACCTAGCAGCACCTCTAGAGCTCCAAGATCCACCTGTAAACCAACAAATTGTTTTTTGTTGTTATTTATAGGGATACACCAATACAGAGACCGGTATCGGTTCCAATTATTTGCTCATATACTCATTGTAATCATCACCACTTTATAAGGATCAACAACCTTATGGCAGTGTTACATTACATAATCTCTCATTAGTTGAGCAGGTACACAAATATAAATATATTAAGTAGTGAGCTCTGGAGGTACTGGTAGGTGCATTGTTTGGAAGCTAGCTGTTACCTCATTTCCAGTGTTTATGCTAAGCTATGTCAGCTGGCTGCAGCTTACTTACCGTACAGTGGTGTGAATCTTCTCATCTAATTCTTGTCAAGAAAGCTAATACTAGTCCATGTAGTAAAACTCAGTGGCATTGATGGTAGCACACAGAGGTTTAACTGTTAGCGAGAGAGCAGTGAAAAAGGTGGATATACTTTTACCCTGTAAAATGAAACATTATCATAAAACTGCAAACAATTCATCAAGAAAAAGGGGCCAATCAATATGAATATATAATATGAATGTGTATTAATCATGTGAACCATCTGCAAAGCACATTTAAGTAAGGCCATCACAAAACGCAATGAAACATATTCATCCTCCCTGAATGACACTGTCCATATGACATTTATTGACTTTCTGATTTCATATTAATGTATCAATGTCATGAATATGACATACTTTTTTGGCAAACACATTCAATTCACTGTGATGCTACACTGACTTGTAATAGGGAGAATGGTGCCTCTGTCATTCCCATTCTGTAACTTGGGTTGAGTGGGTACGCGAGAAGTTTAACCCATTACATCACTGAGTCACACACCATTAACTATGTCACTGATTTTGGAGAAAATGTTTTTTGGTTTTCCCTCTGATCTCAACTCTTATTTACAGTTTCCTGATGGACAGATAGCTTTACTTGTTGCTAAAGTAACCGCTGGCTGTAGCTGCTGTAGAAACTGTAGAGATTTTCAGGCCTGTGACAGAGGGGACCCAGTAGGGAGAGTCTATTCATTCTAGAAAACGTAGGCATATACTAACCTTGTCTATCAGTCAGTCCAGTTAAAGAGCCACAAATGCAGGCCCCAGGATTCAGACAGCTATAAATGGAACATCAAATGCATTCAGAATTTGAATGAACACTCACTTAGTGCACTGGGTCACTGAGTTAAATGTGTGTGCCGTACTGTTACAACATCTCAACTTGTCACCTCAGTACTTCAGAAATCTATATATTAGTAAAAAAACAAGTATAAATAAAAATAAGACAAATCAGTGTGCCAATGTAAATATTGGAGGGAGTGATTCTGTGCTGACTGAATAGGAATTACTGTAATGCTTCACACATATGAAATAAGAAACTATTTATTCTTCTTGTGTATTAAATGATACAAAATATAAATAAACAACCGGGGTACTGTTGGATGTCTCATTTCCGTTGGTTGTAAACAGTCAATAACCTGCAAACAGTTGGCCATGAAGCAAACACTGGCTCTCCTGCTGTTTCCGTTTGGGATGCATTCTGTAGCCCACATGAAGGGGGAGGGGGGGTGGGGGGGCTCTTGTCAAGCCCTGCTTGTCTTAAGTTGTGTACA